GCACAAAATTATGAATATATGTAATACCATGGAACTGTGCCCTTAAAAATGGTTTAAGATGGTAAATTTTACGTTATGTATATTTTACCACAATTAAAAACATGGAGAAAAAAAAAAACCTGAAATAAAGTTATATTCCCAAATTTAACTTGAGTAAATATACTTATAAAAAGCCCTCTTTATAGACTTGGATGAAATGGAGCTGAGTGAGTTACAAAAATTAGGTTAGATCATGATTAAATACAAAAATGGGAATTTTTTCCCTCCATGTAATTCACAAACATAAATTTACATTTTTTTAAGGAAAACATAGAGGACATATCCTCTTATAAATACTGTAACAGCAACATTTGTAATAAACAAAAGCCTACCTTTTAAATTTAAATGCCTAAGTAATTACATGCAAGTCAACTTCTGAGCCAACAAATTTTAGTTTGACACTGTTATTTGAGCAATCCACAAGAATGTTTCTCTTATTTTTTTAAAAAGCAGTGACACAACTTTTTTCCTAACAAAATCTTATACAGAATCTCCAAGTGGAAAAAAACAGAACTGCCCTGATTGAAGTTAGGGTTAAGTATCTAGAAGGTGATGTATTCCACATTTCTTCCTTCCAGGTTCTCTACTGGAAAATCTAGGCCTCTGGAGTCTAAAGACCACACTGAAAAATATTCCTTAAAGTATACCATAAAGGGTTCTACATTATAAAAAGATATTAGTTAAAATAATTTTAGCAAAACAAGAATACTTCCTTCAGTGCACTTACCTACATTCCACATACAGACTTGTGATCTTGCAGTGACATTTTATTCTAAGCATCTGAACACAAGGAGGACATTCTCCAGGGTGACATAGCAAAACACAAGGGTGGGGACAACCCAGCGGCTGTGATTTAGAGCACCCTTCTTCACATTGAAGGCATTCTGGGCCAGCCTGAGAAGTAGAAAGGAAATATATCACCTAAGTACAAAAGTCTAACATTTCTATACAAGTCTAAATTTTATACAGTTATAAAATTTATATATTCCACTAAAAGAAAGTATTTGATTACATGAAGTATTCCTACTAAAAATATAAATTACTTCCTAAAGAAGAGTCAGTGTTAGAAAAAAAAGAGTAAAACATTATCTATTCATTTCTATCCAATAAGCATGATCATCATCAAACTAAAGAAACCACACACTGCTAAACACATTAATAAAAATCCTCAAAGCATTCAATGTTCTGGAGATACTAATCTCATCTTGCCAGAGAGAAACATATATAGAGGGGAAAAGGGAGAATAATAAGCAGTTTATTTTTTAATGCACCTCAATGAACCAAAATTAAATTACATTTACAAATAACTGTAGGTCAATGTAACTTAACAAGGTACCTCTCTGCTCTCATAATTAAATAATTTCAGTAGTATCTCCTAAAGAAGGAATTTTGAAGATTTTTTATTGCAGGATTATTGTTTATTTTCACATCATAACATGAGATAAAATAAGAAAGCTATAGACATGGATACTAAGCCTTAAAGGTTAAACATTTTTTATTATCACTTCTAAATACAGCCATGATTGCAAAGGAGTTATTGTCAGTAAAATTCTATGCTATTTTGACATACAGGATTAAAAAGAAAAACTTTTTCAATTATGAAAATATTCTTCTAAAAATAATTTATTTTTTTAATTTAAAAAAGTATATGAATTTATTCCACAAATACTTATTCATTATGCACCAGGTACTTTCCACACACTGGAAATATACAAGATGGTATAGATCCATGTGATACAAGGATCTTACATTTCAAGGGAGGAGGTAAAGAAAAAAATAGAATGCTTTCATAAATATTCTGAAATAAGATAAAGTAGAATAAGGTAAAGTTAACAGTAACAAGAAGGAAGCCTGATAGTTTCTATTTGAACAAAAATTAAGTTAAAAAAGGGAGTGAGCCATTAAGAATGGAGAATTCCAAAGAAGATTATAAGTGCAAAGACTGAGGTAAGAACAAATTTGGAATGTTCAAAAAATAGCAAGAATAGAAGTAGAAATGAGCAAGTGAATAATGGGTGAAGAGGTGGGAAAGGCAGACAGAGGTCAGAACATTATGAACCCTCATAGGCTATCGTAAGTCCTTTAGATTTTATTCTGAGAGTAACTGAAAACTACTTAAGGGTTCCGAACAGGGAGGTAGAACCTGCTGCACATTTTTAAAAGGTGAATCTGGCTGATGTAGTAAGATAGAAGTGGGAGTGGAAAGGTTAGTTGAAAAAACATTGAAGAAATCAGGTTAAGAACTGATGATGGCTTGGATGAAGATAGGAGGGGTTATGAGAAATGGTCAGCTTCAGGGTTTATTCTGAAGATAAACCTAACAAGATTTGCTGGGGGACAGGACAATGAAGATAAGCAAAAAAGTCAGCAATGTTCCTACATCTGTGATCTGCACAACTGGGTAAATAAAATTTTCTGAAATTGTAAGACTGGGAAGATAGGCAATGAATCAAAAACATGCAATAACACACAGTTTATTTCACTTGTTTTTTCCTGTCTATGTAGTACACTTTCAATGATCTTCCATGTAAATAACTTGAGTAGAAGAGCATATTGGGCTGGGNAAAAAAAAAAAAAGTCACTGAATCCACTTGCAAAGCTATCTTCCTGGACCAATTCCCATATCAACTTCTATCCTCTAGGGGAAATTAGGAAATTTAAATTAATTAGGAAACACAGCAAGTCTGGCTGTCAAGTATCCTACAGTTCTCATTTTTAAAAAGGTGGGGAAGGAGGAACACAAGTTTTAGCCCAGAGAGCAATATTGGGAAAATCCACAACAATTCCCCCATCAGTCATATCAGCTTTTAAAATGAGTTTTTTTCTAATTTATCTGATGTTCTGGAAATCCAGGAGGGAGAGAGATCCTAATTATAAGTAATGGTATATATAATAAGAAGGAAAGCAGAATAAACATTTGGGTTATTATCACAAATTGGAAAACTAATCTTGATAAGTACAGTTGTTTTTTCTCCCATGTTATTGAAATACATTTGAAATTGTATAAATTTAAGGTGTTCAACATGTTAATTTGACACATTTATATATTATAATTTGACTGGCATTGTAATGATAATTAGCACCTCTATCATGTTATAGACCTATCCTTTCCTTTTAGTGGATAAAACAACTAAATTCTAATCCCTTAGCAAGTTTGGTGATAATGAAATTCTTTTCCTTTAAATCAACGAAACATGACAGTGACACAGCACAAACACACTGCCTTTAAAAGAAACTTTCAGACATTTTTGTGCAGTATTGATCACCTGGGAATCTTGTTAGAAGGCTAAGGTGGGCATGGGGGGCCCGAGATTTTATATTTCTAACAAGATTTCAGGTGATGCCAATGTTGCTGGTCGGCAGACAACACTGAATAGCAGGTCTATAACATACATACTTACATAAAAAAGTATGTATGATTTTGTACATATTTTTTCTTCTCTTTTTCTCTTCCCAAAGAGAAAAGACTATCCCATTACTCTATCTCTTCTTTCGGTCGCTCAAAAAATACTTGAGCCCACATTTGTTTGGTGTACACACAATTTCAATTGCCATCCTCCTCACAGTATTTGCCAGTTGGTATAATCCCACTCAGTACAGCCAATGAAGGAGATAATAGGGATGTATTTATTGATAATGATAGCAATAGAGCCATTCACATAAGAAAAGCCTTGGTTGGACTGAGATCTGTATTAGGCCAGAGGAGGAGACTAAAGCAGAGGTAGGAAGCAAGAGGTCTGATTCCAGTCAATCCAATAAATGCTTTATTGAATACCTGCTTTGCTGGTTTTGTGCTACAACTCAAGGTAGAAACTATGTTAAAATTCCAAAGGCATTTGGGCCAAGAAAGACATACTAGAAGCCCTTCTCCTAATTAGAATGATTGCAAAGTTCCACAAAATAATATAAATCACTTGCACTGTGGTAGCCTTGAGTAGAAGATAGGTATGGAATTTTAGCTAAATTGAGAAAAACTTTTGCACATAACATATAACCCATACTTTGCCACAGCCACTACCCAGAAAATGATATAGTGAAAATCCAATTCCCCAATCTTTAGTCAGTATCAGCTCTGAAAATTAGTTTTAAAGAGTTTTCCCGTCTCACTTGATGTTCTGGAAATCCAGAGAAAAAAGTCTTATAGCAGTTCTACTCTAAACAGTGATTTTGAATCATTATAATTATGTTAGTTTGATTTTATAATTATAGTATCTTCTTCATTTCATCATGAGTACATTTCTATTGAGGATCAAAGCATGGATCAGGGAAGACATTATAAGCCAAAATTTACATCTACGTCTGCATTGAGCAAGAATGATACTATGGACATTCATGTTGTCATGCACTATAATTAACAAATCAATTAACAATGCAAGTGAAATTTGCAATAACATAATTCATATTAACAATTTAAATATTTGTAAATTCAATGTTAGTAATAAAATGAAGCTTTAAATTTTTGGCTAACTTCTCACTAAGCATACTTGCTAATATTATTATGATTCCACACAGAATGGAGATCCAGGTAAAAACATTACTTTTATAATAAAATTTAGTATTTAAAATTTGATTAGCTACATTGGTTTTTCCTTGCAAAATGATTAATTTTTAGAGATCTTTGGTTGATTTCTCATAAGCTTGTGAAATGCTATTAGTGAATTTCATACAGACACACATGCCACATCTGTGATGCTATTTACTTTCAACAGAAAACTAGGAATTGACTAAAATTGTAAACATCATGTCATACAAATTAGGTTGAAAAATAACTGAGAAAAAATGCTCCAGAAACTAAACTCAGAAATGTAAATGGACAGAAGTGGAGGTGACACTGCTGTTATATAAAAACATAATTCCTGTTCTTTGATCACAAAATCAAATCCTATGTATTAACACAGGTTCAGTATGGAAAGAGTACACATTTAAAAGGTACATTATTATAAGTTAGAACAAAGATATAGAGAGATAAACACCAAGCTGTTAAAGTTGTCTTAAAAAAGGCAAGGAAGGAGAAGGGATGATGGAGGTAAAGAAGTTATAGCAAGATGAAAAAATACTTATGGTATAATTACTGAAAAGAATATTTTAATTATACTGTAACCATATATACATTCAAACCTAAGAATATTACCTTGTTTTTGTCAGTGGAGGCATCAGTTTCAGTCACTTTGTGGCATTCTTTCATACATGTATGATTCTGACAATCTAACATTCGTCCACAAACCCTCTTACAAGAGTAGGGTCCTACCGCATGGCATGGTAGTGGACTCACCTTTAAAAAAAAAGGAAAATTAGCAACTCACACAACAAAACCTTCTGGATCCATGTTTCCGAAATTACTCTATTACCCTTTGAGAGCAAGTTTCACAAAGATCTAACACATTTTTGTTAATAAGTTATTATCAAAACCAAAGCAACCTATCCAAAAAATACAAAAAACAAATGCCAAGGAGCACAACATTATATTCCAAAGGGAAAATTCAAGATGATTCTACAGTGAATACATATTCATAGGTTAATTCTCAAAAGCACTATATATTTTTAAAACTAGTAGACAAAGTCTTGTACTCTTCATAGAACACACACAAAAAAACAATTCTTTGTTACTTCTAACAATCCTTATATGTTAAGTATACGCTTTACTTAAAACTTGTGCCTATAACTCACCTCATGCTTCCCAAGACATTCTCTGCAAGAAAAAAATAAAATGAAATGAA